ACAGCACAATGTCGGCTGAAGTGGGCTCCTGGGCATATGGGGATAGAGGGCAATGAGGAAGCAGACCGCTTGGCTAAGCGGGCAGTCTCATCCACTGCAGCCCCAGCCTATGGTCTCGAGGCCACACCCACAGTCAGTGGGGTCCGCACAGTGGCCAAGCAGCTCAGCCAAGAGGCAAGGCGAAAGTGGTGGAGTGGAGCCTGTGGCAAGCTCTCTGACTGGTACCGGGGCTGGAGTTTCAGCAGGCCGACTGTGGAATACCAAGTGAAGGCCCCTCCGGAGCTCACCATGCCACGGCATGCCCTTCACCGCTGGCTCGCACTCCGCTCCTCTCATGGGGATTTCTTTTGGTACCACAGGCGTTTCCAGCATGCAGATGCGAGGCTCACCTGTGTCTGTGGACACAACAAGAGCCCAGAACATTTGGTGCTCTGTCGACACTCACAGAGGCACTTTCTTCACTGGCCCAAGAGGCCAGCAGCACGGCCACACAACCGGGAGACAGCTGTTGCCTATCTAGGGTCTCTGACCCCTACAGACTTTGTAGAACTGCTGGACTGCACGCAGTTCTACACACGGTACTGCACAAGGTAACGCAGCCGGCTGGCTGCAAACCATCTGACAACCCCCGCAGCAGTTCCACGAGGCCGGCCTGCTGAGTACACCCACGGTAGTTAGTGCAACTGCCAGGGACATCACAGTCTATGCAGACAGTACAGATAGCACAACTAGGCTCATCTGTCTCAATTAGCTGTGGTGTAATCAGTACAGTCTACGTGTCTGACTCAGCTGATATGGTTTTGACTGCCGGCATTGTATCTACGCGTACTCTGCTTTGTTTTCCTCTCGTTTGCCCTTGTCTCTATCGGCTCAAATGCTTCTTCTTCCTTCTTTTCTTTACTCTCTCTGTCATTCTCTGCTCTTTTCCTGTCACAACCTTCTTCAATGCTCTCTCCTCTCTTTTCCCCCGGGTCTGTGCCAGGTCACGTGACTGCAAAGTGTTGCAGATGACACAGTCTTTCCTTCATCTCTCTCTTTTATTCTTTTCATTTCAAAACACACACTTTCCCTCTCTTTTTTTCATTATTTATCTTGTCTGTCTTTCTTCTAATGGTAAAAACACAGACAACTTTCTGATCAACTGAGAGAGATATCCCTCTCTGCTCACTATAAAGCCTTTCAAACACGGCACCGGCGGTCCCCTCAGGAAACCAAACCCACGCGTTTTGGGTCCCCACGCCAAGGCGTTACCGGGTGGCCGCATTATCCATTCGGCCACCGGGGTTTATAAAGAGGAGATCGGAGCAGAAGAATATCAGAAACTGCTTTGCAATAAAGCACAGAGCAGAAAAATATTGAAAATTATATAAAAAAATTGTTAGAACTATATGAGCACAGAGTTTGAGGAACTACACAAGAATGAAGCATGAGAAACTACACAGACGCGGAGTGTGAGGTAGAAAAGATTGATTGCATAAATTAATCATTAACAAATGTTCATCCATTATAGATAGTTGAGATTTCTTGAGTATAATAAAATGAAATTTGATCTGCAGAGTGATTGTAGATCATATATAATTATATAATCAAATATTTCATTCTGATCAAAAATGTTGCATATTTTTACTGACATCTTTATCAGAACTAATCTGCTTGTCATTAAAAATATCATTCATGTCACACCTTTGGTTGTGCCAAGGCCCAGTGACGGCTCCACACGGCCCATCGCTTTCCCTCATATAATCCCATCTATCCCATGACGTCACGCAGGTGTCCGAACCGGTTTCTAACCACCCTATGACATCATTCGGATGCAATAGAAGAGGATCCGATTGATGGGATATGAGAATCCTGTTTCTATACGGGGTCAGTAGATTCCTTCTGGCAGATCAATGCAGCGCCACTGCGGAGTTGCTTCGGCTACCCTCGCTCATAGAGTGAGGGGAGGATGGCTGCCCGTTGTCTATATAGAATAGCTAGATGTTGGCTCTTTATTCCAGGAGCTAGCGATTCGTCTTTTATCTTTTGACAATAAGATACCAGAGTTACCAATGTCCTCATACAATATTCTTAGTGTGCCGAGTACCTCTGGTAGTTCAGTATTTGTATAGTATTCTACGAGTTCGCGGTTCAAGCGAGATAATCAAGCCCACCCATAAGGCTTCCCATTATATACCATCCTCCTCTGTGCCGCTGCCGAGTAGCAACCGCCTCGGCGCCGTCACATTATAATTCATTTCAGATTGTTTCACTGTGAGAAAAATCTCTTCTTTTCACATTGAGTAATTCACAGAGTCAGTGAATATGATAGACTTTTTAATAAATTTTATCTAATTTTTGATTTCATCAAGAATCTTTATTATTGTAAATGTTTTATCTTTTCATTGAAAATAATTCATCAAATCTATATTGAACTCTTCATTACTGACAGAGGATTCACCTCTGCTTGCTTTCATTCATTTAATCTTATACTGAAGCTGAGTTATTTCTAATCTCATATGAATTTCCTCATTCACAGAATCAGAGCCAGCACTTTGATCATCTGTATTGCTTGACATATTATTGATGCCTTTAATTAGATTCTCAAATTTTTCATTCAATTCATTCAATTTGTTTGATTTGTTTTGCTCATTTGATTTGTCAATTGTGTCATATGATTCAAAAGCATCAGAGGTCATTTTACAATTCATCACTAATGTTGATAAAAGTTCTCTGAACTCTGATGTTTCATGTTCAGAAGTTTGTTGATCATTTCAATTTTTTTTTTTAAAAAATGTATTTCTGCATCAAATCAGATGTTGAATCTGATCTGAGATTAATCATGGATTAAATTATCATAAAAGTGTCTAGACATGCATTAATAAAGTGTGGAAATGTAATTAGCACATTATTTTGCAGCTTTTCATTGTGTAGAGGGCACTCATAACCTCATAGAATGAATGTTGTTATGTATTAAAACTAACTAGCTGAGCAACAACTAAATAAGATTGGGGAGCACGTGATCTAGGGTAGCCGTAGTATCCACCTACAAGGTGTTGACTAACTTAGTTAACGAGTCGCTTACATCAGCCCCCAGCCTGCCCAAGGCCTCGCCACCAGGCCCGCTTGGCCGCAGCTCTGAGGCCGTTGTGTCGATGTCGAGAGCCCGAAGTCAAGCTGCAGTCTAATGTCCATAGGCTTGCCAAACTGGTTTTTGCTCATCACTCAGACTGCCAGAGACCTGACATCAAAGCTTCCTGCCTCTCTCTCCTCTATTCCCTCCTAACTGGCTTGTATTCCGCTGGCTCTTTGCTTTCGTGTACTATGGATGAAGACTGAATACGGATGATATATCATATGGGTCCTCTTCTTCGACACGGGGGATATTTTGGCACCTTGCGATATCTGTCCAGTCAAAAGGAGCAGTTTCAGTGCCTCACTGTTGGAAAACTTGGTATCATCATCCCTCCGAAGTGTCAACTAATTGGCTAGCGGCAAAAAAGGAATATAGCGCTTGTACAGAAATTCCGCCTGCGCCACTAGCCGGTTGGGGCGGGAGCCGAAAAGCGTTGTTGCTCTGTCGTTAACTATTCTTACTCCAAAGCTATCATCTAATTGCTCTCGAGAACGTTTTGGATAGAACAAAGATTGAATCTTGAAAAAACTGTCCTCAGCCGAGCGCTCTATCTTTTATGCCACTAGACGAGGAGGGAGCCAAGTGGTCGTGGTATGATGCTACTGCTTTGCATATGCAATTTTGATAAAGGAGAAATATGCTGACAGGAATTTCTACTCTGTTAGTGAACCATGCGTTCGGGGCCATAGATCATCAAAATGCCAACATTTCGATCGCCTGATGATGAAAGTGCCCAAGGCCGGTCGACCTCTCGCGAAATGCCCTCATCCTAAAGGCACCTGTAGTTGTCAGAAGCTATATGCGTTCATGGTCAGAATTCCGAAGGGTAAGATTCAATCGACGTGGTTACTTTTCCAGTCGCTGTGGCTATCCTAACTCTTTTTCCTATGATGGGTAGGTTCAACATGTTTATGTCGGCCCCTTTATCAAGTTCCCATGGTGGTGACAGAGGCCGGACCATCAGAACAACCGGCGTCTGTCCCTCCAGTTTCAATAGTCCCCACAATATCTGGTCGAAACCGTCCTCAAAAACGTTCACGACGCCAGAGCAGCCTCCAAACTGCTCCGGAATTAGTCACAAAGAGCTCAAGTCAGACTGACCCTACATGTAACGGGAAGAATGGAGCCATGGATCATGGGGCCAACCCTACTACATCGAGTGTACAAGCGCCAAGCGATGAACAGTATTTGGAACCTCTTCCACGTTCAACTGAATTTCCTCTACACCAGACACCAAGTGGTGGCTTCAACCCCCATAGGGCTTATCCAACCCAGTCGCAATGTCAACCCCTTACAAATAGAACAGGGGTTCAATCCTCCACCAACGGCGGGTGCTGCGGCGCTCAAACCACCAATGAATCTTCAACTAAATCGCACCAATCATCTGGTTCTTCTAAAAGCTTAAAGCTATGGCAATACAACGATACTACTCCTCAATTCAAGCTGGAGGAGACCTCACCTTCTGATCGACCAGTCGCGCAAAGCTCTGTCCACTTCGCACCTCATTACCGTTCGGGCAGCGAGCGCCGCCCATTTTCAACGATCGATGTCGAAAAACGTGACCACAATCCAGACGATAGCCCACCCAATTTTCCACATAGGAATTCGTTTGCCAACTCCCGATTGCATGAGACCTCTTCTGTTCCTGTGACGGGCTATTCGTCACCGAATACTATGAGTCCCTATCGTTCAACAATCCATCCAATTGGTGATTTCCCTTGTTCGGGAATGAATGATTTTGGATTTCAAACGAATCACATTCCAGATGACTCTCACCCACATAACTGTGATTGTGGGGAAGACTGTCAATGTTTGGGCTGTGCTTCTCATCCCTACAACAACACCACCCGACAATATATCCAGCAAATGGGCTGTATGATTACGTCTAGAGGCCCTGATCAGAATCCTGAATCAAAAGATAACGTCAGACCACCCTTTGATAACCACGTGGCACATAATACACATTTTAACTACGGTCATGGTTGGCCACCAAATAACTTTCCCTTCCACCTCCCGGATTGGAACGGGTCACATCCAGGTCCATCATTCAACAATCCCAGTTCCTCTGCAGCGGCTCCAGCAGTCTATGACCCTAATCGAGATCAAGTGATGATGCAACCCGCCGCGTATTACGAGCTAGAATACCCAGTTGGCATGTTAGACTCTTGCACAAATACCGCGGGTACCTGTCACTGTGGAGTCAATTGTAGCTGTGTTGGCTGCTTAACTCACAATGGACATGATGGAATTCCCCTTGAGCTCTCCCAACCCCAGGATAGCCAAGCAGAACGAGGCTCCGCAGCCACGGAAACCTCAAGCTCTACTCCTGATCACACTAGCCAGCCGGCAGTCTATACGAGCTCCTTCGGCTTAGCGCCTCCCACTCAAAGCCCGATACCTATCGCGCCGACGTCGCAACTATAGGTAGGAAGTGCAGTAATCCCCATTCAGGCGCCCTACTCAAGTCACGCTACGTCAGCTCGGCTACCTCCACTATGCAAACGTTTTACCCAAAACTCGAAACGATAGGTCATAAGCGATATCAATGATGCCCCACTAATATCAATTGGAAATAGAGCATTGGGCTTGGACAGGGAATTTTCACTTTTGGATTGCTTTCTTTTTCGTTGCCCTCTTTTTTCTTAGATCTTTTTCTCCTTTTCCAACGCTGAAATTCATGAAGTAGATGTTGCAACTTTCTTGTTCATATGGAGCTATCTTCTCTCTCTCTTTCTTTCTCTTCCAGTGTGTGTGTGTGTGTGTGTGTGTGTGTGTGTGTGTGTGTGTGTGTGTGTGTGTGCGTGCGTGCGTTGTTTTCCGTATAGGGGGTCCGCGTTGCTAGTATATATGATAGAACGGCATCAAACGTATCGCCTAATGACAAA